GAGAGAACACTTTCCCTGGTGCTACCGGGAAGCTGTAAGTAAGCTTACTGCACACCACATCGTACCAGACACAACATGTCCTCTGGGTGACCCCGGTGGCTCAGGACAAACAGTTGCAGGCTGCTGGGGCTTGTGAAAAGCTAGAGAAACCGCCAGAGATACCAGCCTGGAGGTGCTGGAGGTCCTGCCCAAATCAAAGGCCAGGTGCAGAGGAAAACCTGCACTGTGCCTTAGAAGGGGCGTTCCCAGCAGCCTTCAAGCCCTCACCCAGCCTCGCCTTCATGTGCTGGTGGAGAGAGACTGGCCAGGTGCCAAGGCGATGAGTGCATTCTGGTGCTAAATGCCCACGTAATTAGGGGCATGGCTTGTGGCTTCGTGGAAACCCGTATTTCCATCCTCTTTCTCCAATTTGTCTCTCTCTCCCTTGATTTCAGAGAGGAAGGGAGAGGGAGAGAGAAATAGAAACATCGATGATGAGAAAGAATCATTGATCGGCTGCCTCCTGCACACGGCCCGTATTGGGGATCCAGCCTGCAACCCGGGCATGTGCCCTAACTGGGGTCAAACCCAGGACCCTCATGCCCAAGGCCGACACTCTATCCACTGAGCCAAACCGGCTGGGGCCTCTTTCTCTACTTCTTAGCAGGATTCAGATGCCTCAGTCGCTGGTACAGAGAGCAGGTGGCAAAGGACAGGCTATGGGCAGGAGCCAGGAGAGAGACAGGCTGGTGCTGCCTTCCCAGGCTCCGGTGGCCTGTCTCTGGCCCTCTCTGAATCACAGGTCCCGCCTCTGAGAAATGAGGAAGCGAGCAAGTCTCCCACAGCAGCCCAGGCGGTTGTGATAGAGAGCGGGCCCGAGGTTCCTCTCCTGTGTGCACCGAAACCTCCTCACCTTATTGTCGGGGCTTCCTCTGGGCTCTGCAGCTCTTTGTTCCTTGAAAGAGGAAACTTCGACATCAGACTAAACCAGGAATGGGCGTGGCAGGTCCCGCTCCAGAGGAGCCGCTGCCCCTGGCGACTGAGGTGAGCTGGAAGGGCAGAGGGTGAGGCCGAGCTGCCCACCCCAGGGTCCCAGGCCCAGCACCCAGATTTCAAGCTGGAAGTGATGATACAGGAGGGCTTGTGCGTCCCCGCACCCTGCACCAGCTCCTGCCC